TACTCCCACAGGAAAATTTGTGAATGGCTAATTCCTTGCCCCCTTGCCAATACAGATGTTATCATACTGACATCAAACTGATTTTATATCAAAATAAACTTGACTCACACAGATTAGTCTCAAGCTCATTGGGTTCATTTGAAATCTCCCTAGAGGAAATGAGGTCTAGAGCCTCAAGGACACAGAGGCCCTAGACAGAAAGGAAGGAGTCCCAGAAGGGAGATGAAGACAAGAGGTGCACTGGGACAGGGTATGATCACTGGCAGACCAATGTGAGGAGCAGAACATGGATAGTGCTCAGGGGCAACTCGAAGAATGACTGGCAAAGCAGGGCCTTTACTCAGAAGCAAACAAGAGTCTGCAGACAGCACTGGATTGAGCACAGAATGTCTACTTCTGTCACTAGTTCAGTGATCTTCTGAAACGAGTTTATCTGAGCTTCAATTTCCTCACCAGGAAAACCAGGATGTTGGCCCTGGAATCAAACTTTATACAGATAAAGAAGTGTGGGATTCAAAGTATATTTACGGGTCAAAAAGATGATACCAGACAAGCAGAAGTCTGTTGCTAGGGAAGAACAAGGAATACTCCGCTTCAAACTCTAGTCTTTCCAACCTGACAACCTGAGGGAACACGAAGAAACTAGAAAAAACACAGCTAGAAAGCAAGGAATCTTAAATAGCTGAGGTTCTGTTCAGCTCTAAAAGACATTCCCAAGCAGTGTGAGACACTGCATCCTTACCCTTCACTTCCATTCTGCTTAATGACAACACAATCATTCACTTAACACCCATTCACCGGGTACCTATTAAATCTCGAACCAGAAGACAGGTCGAACAGTACACTGTTCCCTCTGAGGTTCAATTTCTATTTGAAAGGGAAGGAGAGAAATGAGCTAAGAAATACACGTGTCAGGGCAACAAAAGTAAGTAACAGTCAAGTGTAATGAGTGGGAATGGACTGCTCCACCCATCAAAATCCTACCATCCTCAAGTCAGGCTTCCGTTCGGCCTAAGCTTCTGCCCCTTGTTAGCTATTTCGCACTACTGGATTGGGCTCACTCCGACCATAAGCCTCTTGAGGCACTGTACCAATCCTGGAAAGCTACCACAGTGCTATTCTGGCTGCACACCGGGTAGCACTCAATACCTGTTGATTGCTATGACAATACTGCCATTTTAGAATTGCAATGTGTTTTTTTGTTTTGTTTTTTTGAGACAGGGTCTCACTATGTAGTTGAGACTAACCTGGAACTCACTATGTAGCCCAGGCTGGTCTCGAACTCACAGTGATCCTCCTGCCTCAGCCTCCCAAGTGCTGGGATTACAGGCGTGCACCACCACGCCCAGCTGCAAGTGTTCTTAATTCTTCCTTTTCTAAACACCACAAAGGACAATGTTCATGTAACAAATTTACATAAAAAGAGCAGAATCAATTGAACAAACTCAAGTAACAGGATATGGGAAGAAGTGAAGCCCCACCAAGCACACAGCTCCCCTTCTGATCACTTTTCAGGGTCACCCCTCCCTTGAACTGGGGCACTGGTACCACAGCCCTCCACTCACCCCAGCCTCAGGCAGTTCACAGCTCTGCTCCTCTCACTCCCAAGCTTAAAAACTGTCAAGGGCATCTTCACCAAGTTCCCCTCTTTTTATGCCAGAAAAATGCGCATAATGGGGTTCTTTTAACAGCAGAAGGTCTGACAATCCCTACATAAATAAGTTGTACTTTCGTTATCCATGACTTAAGACAAAAAACCTACTGTGACACAAAGGTTTACAACAGTACTATTCACAATAGCCAAGAAGTGGCAAAAGCCAAAATGCCATCAATAAACAAATGCATAAGCATTTTTATGCCCACACAATATTTTTTAACCATAAAAGGAATGAAGTGCAGATACATGCTATAATGTGAATAAACCTTGAAAACAAGCAGAGTATAAGAGAGAAGCCAGAAACAGCAGGCCACTTATGGTATGATTCATGTATATGAAATAACCTGAGCAGGCAAATCCTGAGAGACTGTATACAGATTAGTGGTTATTAAAGGTTGGGGTACCAAGCAGTGCAGAGACTATAATGGTACAAGGTGCCCTCTGGGGGTGATGAAAATATGCTGGGAACAAGACAATGGTGACTGGTTTCAACAATACTGAATATATTAAATGCCACTGAATAGTACATTTGAAAATCAAAGTTTTATGTATATTTTATTACAGTGAAATGTTACTATAAATTCCATACACCTTAAAATAAATCTTTACCTACTCATCCCTAAAATGTAACTTGGAATGGTAACTACAAACACTGCAATGCAAACTCGCACACGTACAGATGAGCACTCACTGCCTACACAGTTCCTGGTGTGACTGCAGATGCTGAAACTCAGGCGCAGGTGCAACTAATAACGACGGCACAATGACTAGCCCCTCCTGAACTGCCTGCTCTAAGTACCTACATTTAATTCTGTGAGATAAAGATCCATAGTATTTCACAAATTACAGGCATAGAGAAGTCACATATCTTGTCCAAGGTGAAAGAGCTAGCAGATGGCAGAACCTCAGAATTCAAATATGAAGCCAATCTAGTTTCATCTTGGTCACGTCTCCACTAACTCACAATGTATGGACCCAGTCTATTGTCTCCTACGACCTATCCACCCCACACAGTACCATTCCACAGAGTCACCTATTCAGCTTTTGCATTCAATGTCTTCTACCTGGAGCTTCCATGTGACCTCAGTTGCTGGTGTCTTGCATCCCCTAGGCAAGCAGGGTGGTCTCTCTTCAGTGAAGGCTTCCTCGAGGTAGAGGGAATGGGAGCCAGGGCTTCTAGAGCTCTAGTATTATATAATCTACCTACCTTTCTACTCACAGGCATGTTTGCAAGCGAGTGCCCATTTCTGCCTGAGGACCACAGCTACTTCCCCTCCCCCACTTCTCCTAAACCAAAGATGCCTTGTACTCTGCCGGCAAACAACAGGGAATGAAAATCAGTGATCCGCAAGATCAGATTAACAGAATCCCTTTGGCCAGCATAATGTTTCGACACCAACATACAAAGTCTTCCCTAGCACACCCACTTCTGGTGAGCCACACTGGTGAGCTCAGTGTCCTCTTGTGATCATTAATTCTAGGTTGGTCAGCAAGCCTGATCTAGCCATTAACTGATTTGTTTATACTCCTAGTTTTCTTCCTATCACCATTCTTTTACATTTGATAAATCACAACTAGAAAAGATACTATGAAATAAAAGACCAAAACAGATACATCATTTGAATATTCCTCATTTCTAAGGATAAAAAACCTCCTATTATGGTTTGTATCTAGATGTCTCCCCCTAAAAAAGCCTCATGTGGTCGGTCACAGGAGGGTATTTTCAGAGGTGGCTGGTTATAGGGTGTATGATGCTGGGGTTAAGAGTGTATTGTACTAAATTAGCCCACTGACTGGTTTGGCATAGTTCTGATATGGATAATGGGAAGGCCTACCCTGGGTGTAGGTGGCACACTCAAAGGTTGAGTAGCCTGAATGGATATAAAGAAATAGAAAGAAGGCAGGCAGTCTGTTGCTTCTTCACTACTTTGCTGCCTTCTGCCTATCATGAACTGTTTCTCCTCTGAGATGCCCCTCTGTCATGCTACCCTGCCTTGGAGCTGGCCAACTATGGACTGATACCTCTATAAATTGTGAACTATGATAAATCTTGCTTTAGCTTTGGGTGTTGGTTTTTTGTCTCAACAACAAGAAAAGAAACTAAGACAACTCCCTAGATAATTGAAAGGTGGAAATAATCCAAAAGTTAAAGTTAATTTCGAACCACAACACAACTAAAAGAATTTCTAGGACAAAGGGTTCCTTCTCAGTGCCTACATTTCTAGTCAGGGAAGAGGCCAAGGGGACACAGGATCATGGCTGTCAGCCACAACCCATGATTTCAGGAAAAAGTCAGAGACCTTTGTTGTCTTTTACCTTTAAATTCAACAGAAAAACCAAACATTTCATGTTCAAGTTATTTCTATTCAGCTGACAACACAGCTCAAGTTCAGAGACTAAAAACTAAAAACAGAAACGGGAGAAGATGCTCACTGAACATACTGTGCTTGACCATGAAGAAAAAAGGGGTCCAACCACACTTCTTCTAAAGCTTTGGCTCTCTAGCCAGATGATCACTGCTTGTTTTAATATGCACACTCTATAATCGTGCTCTGCTAAATTGAAACACGATGGCACCCTGGCACACTCTAAAACAAGACCTGAGTTAATATTCAAAAATCTCAACAAAAAAATAAACAAGGGTCTTAATTTGACATGGAGTATAAGTACATTTACTTGTGGGGAAAAATTTTTAAAGTCAAAAGCCTGAACTATAAATATTTACTTTTAATAGAATCAAAACAGAAAACTAAACAACAGTTAAGATATTATATATCAGCTGGGCACAGTGACATATGATTAATCCCAGAACCCTGGAAGTTAAAGCAAGAAGATCATGAACTTGGAGTCTAGCCTAGGCTATGCAACAAGACCCTATCTCCAAAAAAAAAAAAAAAGGGATGGGGATGTAACTCATTATGAAGACCTTGGGTTCAATCCCCAGTACCAAAAGAAAAAAAGAGAGAAAAAATGGCATTACACATCATATACTGTGCACAGACAACTTTAGCCTTCAGACTTAGCTGAGTTTACTGAAAAGTTGCATGTAAATCACATTTTTGCCTCCTTAACTGCACTTGAAAAGTTTTGTAAACAGTGTGCTTCTTCCCAAATAAAAACATGTAGGCCAGATATGGAGATCCTTTAAAGGAATCCCTTTATAAAGGCAATTATCTGCACAGAAAAAAAATCGCCTTATCTTTTCTCAGATCTCTTTGTGCACAGACCCAGATCTGAGCTCCAGGCTCATTTTGGTAGAAACATAGGCTATACAGGAAAGAAAGAAAATCATTTTTGGTCGCTTAAGGGAAAATGTGTTAAAATATCATCCAATTGTACTTACTCCAGGTTCAACTTGACTTCGATCTGCAATATCTATATGTACAACTTCAACAGTTTTCCATGTGTTTGGATCCAAATCATGAACCTACAAATGACACAAAAATGAAACAAAGCAAACTCTAGTATTCCTGTTAGGATTACACACGTTTTTTAACTCCTCATAGTTCCCCAAAATAAGGGGTGGCATGTGTATAAACACTGCCAAATGAAGAGAAAGCTGTCAGTTATTATTTTCTGGTAGTCCTGAAGAGATAACTTATATAGCCAAATGTACCTTTAATCTGAATGATATAAAAACAAAGTCCTCATAACCTGCAGACATTGTACTAACATAAGGTATCATTTAGACCTCAAGAAGTCATACAATATGCAGCTAAATTAAAACTTTTCTGAATTTGGGCCAGGCATGGTGGCACATAGTTGTAATCCTAGCACTAAGGAAGCTGAGGCAAAAGGATCATTGCCAAGTTCGAGGCCAGCCTGTGCTACAAAGTGAGTTCAAGGTCAGCCTGAACTACATAGCAAGACCCTGTCTCAAAGAAAAAGAATGTGATTACCCTAAAGCTATTCATTTGCACTGTGATGTCAACTCAGTACTTCATGTTGGTCAATCATTTATTTCTGAAACTCTATGAACCAATTAAGAGTTGTTTAAAAACTGCCAACAGATACGCCTACTTGAAAGCTGGGAAAGGCAGATTAACTCATACATGGGTTAAAACGCAGCTAATCGTCTCCCTAGACTCTAAATTTTAGAGAATTACTAAGAAAAAAACATAAAACATCAATGATCACTGGAAAGAAAACCCAAATACTGCAAATTAAAAATTTGAAAAGTTCAGCCAGGCGTGGTGGCGCACACCTGTAATCCCAGCACTCGTGAGGCTGAGGCAGGAGGATCACTGGGAGTTCGAGACCAGCCTGAGCTACATAGTGAGTTCCAGATCAATCTCAACTACATAGTGAGACCCTGTCTCAAAAAAT